TGTTAGAGCAGTCAAGACTCCTAGGGCCTCATCTGCACAGACTAGTAAGAGGAAGGTAGAAGAAGAGGAGGAGGAAGAGGCAGATTCAAAAGAAACAGAGGAGGACAAGCGTTATATTGAAGAGGGAGATGACTCTGATGATGGTGGCCTCGACTCTGATGCGTAGGATGAGGCTTTCCCTATTGATATTCCTTCTGATGATGATGATGACGACTACTGAAGACTCTTGCCTCTTGGTGCTAAGTGTTGAGTGTTGAGTCTGTTGACTGTTGTGTTGAGTCATGAGTGTTGACTTTTGTTATACTGTATATTTTTTAAATTTCTGTTGTGTTGAGTGTTGACTTTATATCCTACCTACACTAGTATGGTTTTACAGTTTACTGTTTTAATGATATGGATTATGAAAATTCTCTTCTCAACGTCTATCTTTTTTTTTTTTCAACTTGGAATATGGTATTATATTGGTAATTTGGTATGGCTTTTATTTTTCGCAAATTTCAACTGGTAGCCGCCCAGGTTCTGGGCGGCCGCCTAGGCACTGGGCGGCTTGGATCCCCCCGGCTGCCTAGGACCCGCCTAGTGCTTTTTGATGCACTGATGTGATGGTACCAATGCCAACTAAGAAGAAACTTGAAGATTGTGAAAATGGCGATAGGACTATCATCATCATCATTATCATCATCATAGCCTTTTCCAATTAATTGGGGTCGGCTACATGAATCTTAGTCCACCATTCTCCTTTATTAAATGCCATAAATTCCCATATCTTTCCGAACTACCTCCAACCGCGTCCTTTTGGGCGTACCCCTTGCCCTTTTAAGTCCTTCTACCTGAACTAACTCGCACCTCCTAACAGTTGTTGTACTTGGTCGGCGCTACAAATGGCCAACCCACCTAAGTCTACTTTCTATCATCTAGAACTGTAGTTTTTTTGAACTCTTGTTAATATAGTCAACAAAGAATGTTGCATTGTTGGATTCACCAAGTCTTGTGACCTGAATTCAAGAAATTGTGGAAGCAATATTGCTGCTACAAAAGCTCCAATATGCAATAAAGAATGAACCATATTATGAGTTAGAAAGCTCACTAAGCTTTTGGGAATATTGGAATAGCTACAAGATTCGGCCACATTGTCGGAAGATGGGAGTTTCACCAACAATTCTTTGGCCTGAAGGAAGGGGCAAAATTGGCCAACATACATTGTTCCAAAAAATGACGGGCGGCGCCTAGGCGGCCGCCCAGAACTTGGGCAGCGTAGGTTCAAAAGGAGGCAAATTGTATCCAGTAACCCTATTTTAGGTACATATTTTGTACAAAATATGCATATTCCTGCATTTTTTTATAATCCAAACAAAAAAACACCAAAAATAACCCACCTGATGGGTACCTTTTCACTTAGTCAGGCGCAGTTCCCTGGGCGTCCGCCCAAGTACCTTAGGCACTTCCCCAGGTACAGCTCGCGTAGTTGGTCCGCCCAAGACTGAGTGGTGCGCCCAAGCCCCCCATCGCTCCTAGGCGCTGGGCAGATCGCTTTTTGAATCAATGCCAACATTTGCTAGAGATTATGGAAATCAAATTGGAGAAAGTGAATAATGAGTGTTCTAAAAAATGTCAGGCGACACCTAGGCAGTCGGGGGGGTCTAGGCCGCCCAGCGCCTAGGCGGTCGCCCAGAACCTAGGCAACCTAGGTTCAAAAGGAGGCAAATTGTGTCCAGTAACCTGTTTTAGGTAAATGTTTTGTACGAAATATGTATATTCTTGTTTTTTTTATAATCCAAACAAAAAAAAAACCAAAAATGCCCCACTTGATGGGTATATTTCACCTAGTCAGGCGTAGTCCCCTGGGCGCCCGCCGAAGTACCCTAGTTGCCTACCCAGGGACAGCCCGCCTAGTTTGTCAGCCCAGTACTGGGTGGTGTGTCTAGGCCCCCCTTCCTTCCTAGGCGGCCGCCTAGGCACTGGGCGGACCACTTTTTTAATCAATGCCGACATATGCTAGAGATTCTGGAAATCAAATTGGAGAAAGTGAAATGACTGCAACTTGAAGCACTAACACAACTAGAAGAGGTTGAAGTCTATATAGCGCCATGACGATCATCATGGTTACGGGGGCTCAAACCAAAGTATGCAGATATAGAATTTGCTAAGAAGTTTTTTGGTTCATATGAAATCTCTATGTTATAAGAAGAGAGTCAATATTAAGGTGACTCTTTTAAGTGTCAATGCTGACTCTAGCATGCACCAGAGAAGTCAATGTGCCTTGTGATCAACAATGAAAAATAGTGGGTAGTTTAGGAATTGCAGGTATCTAATTTGTGAAGTTATATTCTTTTTTGTTCTGTATATTATCCTTTACATTTTATTTAATGTCAACTTCTAGAAGGACAAGATCTAGCAACCCTCTACTATATAGGGAAGGTCGATAACCTTTGGAATGCAATGCCATTCTCTCTCTCCCTCTCTCCCGCACACACACACATCCAAGCATGAAAATTTTTATTTTGCTTTCTTTGTCGCTCTATTTATATTGTGGATCTCTCTCTTCTCTCTCTTTCTCATATACAAGTATGAAAATATTTATTTGGCTTTCTGTCTCTCTCTTCTTATATTGTGGATTTCTCCCAGTGTAGCATATGTGTGACTTCTAATGAGCTTCATGTGAGCCTATACACAAGTTATCATGGCTAAATGTTGCCAACATCTCCTTGTGAGCCCTGCAATAGTGGTGCCATAGTTTGCATATGCTGTGCTTGTCTCAACTAGAAAGCTTTTGAGAAGCCTGAAAGCCTACAGATAAAGTCCAAATGAAACAACTCCTTAGCATGGCGATCGAGATTCTATGAAATATTGGAAGGTAATATGACCAGCACAGTAGGATTATTACAAAAGGAGAGGCCATCATAATGACGCCCTGGAGGATCATATGTCAAGGCAAGTGAAGAGGAGATTTAGTAAGGCCTGACAAAATAACGGTACTGAACTGTGTGGAAGAATGAAAAAAGGGGCATAGGCTGGGGCCACTCTTTAAAAACTATTTAGCAAGCTTTGTTGGCATTGGCAAAGGAACAGAGAGAGAATAAGAGACTAAGGGGGCTATTTGGATACCTGGAAATATATTGTCTGTGAAATATATTACGGGTGTAATACAGTACCTGCAAATGGATTCACTGTTTGGGTAGTATTTAAATGCAACTTGGGAAATGCATTGGTACTGTTTGGCTATGTCTGGAAGAAATATGAGAAATGCATTGCCATCCAAATATGAAAAACATGGCTATCTTTGGCTAATATGATTAGACTTTGGTTTCAACATGATAAGTCATTGGAATAATATGATTAGAATAACACGATTTTATTGTGATAAGCCTTAGTTTTATTTATTTTTTATGGAAGTTTTTCAAATGTCTCTCTATATATAGCTTCAAATAAGCAATAAATTTATGATACCGAAATCAAAATCTTTATGGTACAAGTTAAACAATGGGAAAAAGTTTGATTAGTAAATTAGAAGGTTTGATAATCGCAATAGAAATTTTGAAGCATTGGAGGAGACTAAAGAGGTATCTTATTTCAATTGAGCTTCTACTAATGTCTTATGAGAATTATATTGTGTGAAATTTTTTTATTATGATTGTGTTGTGTTATTTCTCATCGATTACCAATTATTATTTTTATTATTTTTGTTTTTATACAAGAGAGAATGGCGGGCTACAACCCAAATTGGGGATACAGGGATGTAGATATGTTTTTATTATGATTGCAGTAGAAAATTGTCAATCATCAAGTTCTACAACTGTTGACATCAATTTAGATTTCCCCTTACTTTCACTTACCAATTATTTAAATTTTTTGTTTTTATATGAGAGTCAGATGAGGGCTACAATCGAAATTGGGGATAGAAATTTTTTTATTATGATTGCAGTAGAAAATTGTCTTCGTACACCTGTTCAAATCAATTTAGATTCCCCTTTCCATATCCCCTACTTTCACTTCTACTTACCTTCATAATTATACAATACAATGTATACTTGAGAGAGGGAAATGTTTTTTTAAGTGGGGATAGGGTAGAGAGACGCACACGAAAGATTTCCAAAGATTACCCGTCAACTTCGTAATAAATTTTTCACCCCTCGCCACGTGTAATTTGGGGAAATCTCGGGTAATGTTTTTTCATTTCCTTATTATTAAAGTGTACCCAAACAGTGTAATGTTATATTTTCTTGTAATTTATTGTCACGTAATAGATTTCCACGTACCCAAACGGCTCCTAAAAGGTGAAGAATGGGAGAGATTGATGTGGAGAAGAGGCAAATAAATGGTAAAGTGCAGAGAGGGAAAGAAGTGCAAAAAAAGAGGAAGCGTTGAGGTACATGTGTGCCTCTGGGTTTCCACCTAAAGTTTCATGCAACCCCATATGTTTGGGAGACATTACAATGTAAAGGTTAATGGGAGCAAGAAGTCATGCAAAAAAAAAAAGAAGTTGATATGATGATATAGGTGGAGGTGAAGGAGAGCGTGTTGGAGTCTTGCAGTGATCACAAATCAGAGGGAATAAAAAAGGAAATTGGAAGATTTGTGAGAGGAGAGATAGAGTGGGGATGAGGTGGATGATTTTTACATGGGAAAATTCTCTGACAGCCCTGTACATACTGTTTATCTCTGGCAGTCCCATATACATCGTGTTGCTTATAAAAGAAATAGGTAGAAGTTAAGTTTCAGGATTTGTTTTAGAGACTAAATTAGCCATGGATTGCATATGATCACCGTTATTGTCTTTGGGGAATGGAATTTTTGTAATATTAATACAACTTTGTACTATTAGTAGATTCTCGTGCAGAAAAGGTTTACCTTGTTCATGTGAATATTTATAGGGAATAAAAACATATAATGTCATTAATGATTTGTCTAATTTTTTACAACAATTTGTGCGAACTTGATTGTATTGTGATCTCAAGTACTGTGTCTGTTAACTAAAATCTGTTCTGTTGTCTCTATAATAGGAAATGGCAGCAGAAATCGGAGAGCTTGAAAAACAAAGGGCTGAGCTTGAAGCTGCACTGAAAAGGGTAGTCGTGCATATATCTGTTTCTTTCATTTTGAACTCTTGCATGCCTAGTGATAATGGATATATTGCTCTTTCTGATCCAATTCAGGTTTTATTTTACATTTGTCAATTCTCTGAGCACCTTTTAACTGGTTGTATACTTTTTTGATGCAGAAGAACTTGAAGAAACATAGAAAATCAACAATAAGCACCTTGAAACAAGCAATTTTGGAGAAACCTAAGGCTTTCTCCCACCTAGGGCTCAAGCCTTAGTCTTCTTTTACAAAACAAAGTTTTTTTTTTCTTAAAGAGGAATACATGAATGACTCTCTAGCCCATCCATGCCCTTAATTATATTGGAAAATTATTGATTTGGACAATATTTATCCATGCAATTAACTTTTGATAAAAAAAGGTCCTAACTTAAGTATAACTTGAAACTAAATTCCCTAACTTTAATTAAAATATCTAAAAAGTCCCTACCTAGTCTAGCAAATAAATAAAAAAAAAAAAAAATCTTAAATAGCCTCAAAAAACTAAAAAAAGAAACCAAACTATTTCTTGCCCTTCTTGTTCTTCTTGGAAGCCCGCCTAGGGTTTTCATCTTTCAAATATGTGCGAAAATTAGGAGGAATTTGTCACTCCAAAAGAAGATACTTGTGGCTACTTGTTGTGCTTAGACACTTCAAAAGAAGATGCTCGTGGCTACTTGTTGTGCTTAGATCTCTATCAGTATATCTTCTATACATTTTGATTCCAATGTTGATTTTCTTGATCGTGTTGTACAAGCCTTTCATGCCTTCTATGTTGGGTTTCAAAATTTTTGTTGCAAATGACTATTTTGTATCACTTATCTGCCCAACATTTTTGGTACTGCGCTTTCTATCTTATCTGAATTTCCTGGTTTTGAAATAAATGTTTCTCTATTTTGAATAGCTTCTCAAATCTCTTAAGAAGATTAATGTAGATGGTGTAGGAACCACGGCTCAGGCTCTCTTTGACAATTTCTTGCGAAATTTTAAGGAAATCCTTATCAGAGATTTTATTAATAATTGAACTGTATTTTTTAGAGCCTTTTATACATGGTTCCTTTTCAGGGTACACTAATATGCTTTTAATATTTTGTTTGTGAAGCCTTTAGACTAGATGCCTGCCTAATTCACTCTTGTTCTCGATTGATTGTTCTTATGCTAAAAAGAACCAGATAAGAAATTATGTGACGAGCATTATTGGACCTTGAATTTTTTGCACAAGAAATGTACATATAGTTGTATGTATGCAAAACGTTTATGCAAATTTTCTCAGTTGTATATATGTGACTTGTCCTTTTTTGTATTACATTAGTGACTTGGATCACTCTTTGCATCTTATATGTTCACTCTATTTGTTTCACTCTTGTCATCACATATTGACTGGATGGATCTTTTCTTTCAATGTGACGGTTTTTTTACATAGGGAAATATTATGAATCAATCACATATTGACTGGATGGATCTTTTCTTTCAATGTAACTCTTTTTTTACATAGGGAAATATTATGAATCTTGAAACTACCCTATTCGTACTTAGTTCTTTCTCATTTTCTTGTCTCGCCTCCTTAAGATTTTGTCCTTAATATATTTGCCCCCCTTTTTCACGTTGCGGGTCTTGAGAAGGTGGAAGGAAACCTCATTTTTGGATTTTCATAGCAATCCTTTGAGGATCCCCTTCTCATAACCTGTGTTAAACCTGAGAAGACACTTTCTAGTGAGCCATACCTGGGGGTTTAGCTGGTTGATCTTGCATGTCTGATGATTGGCTGAGATGTGATGCTAAGGTGACTTCATTGCCTGGCATTCAGGTGTGATTGTATTGGTTGTCCTTTGGCATGTTCTCTCATCCCTGTTGCTAAAGAAAGTAATTATACCTTCTGGGCTGTATATCGGTCTGCTATTTATTGAATGAATAATAATTTGCTTAGCAAAGGCTGTTCCTTTATGGGGAAATGATAACTTGTCTGGAGAAACTATTGCAATTGGATGTTTGGTTTCCTTTACTTCGTCCATACCTCTCTCTATGGTTCTTAGTTCATTTATGAGCCTTTGGGGTTCTCTATGAATAGATTTTTGAATTCAATTCTCCCCATCCATATTAGATCTGCACATTGTTTTGTCAAATTTGTAATCCTTTTGCTATTTTTAGTGTGACTATTACTCCTTTTTTAAAGTAATGTGATACACACCAACACACACACAAGCACATTATGAACCAGTTATCTTTAGATGGGGATATCACTCACATAATAAATTTTTGGTCCATCCACGTAAATGATTTTTGAAAGAGACCACCTACGTTGCTTTATATTCTTCATTCATTGTGTTAATTCTTTTGAAGGGGAGACCTAATGAAGGTTTGCCATCGTATTTCTTTGCACAGATTAATATTTCCCTGGCAGCTGCACTTGTACGACTCAACAATATGAGGGAGGAGAAAGAGCAATTTGATCAAGCAAACAAACAAATTGTAGGACACTTGAAAACAAAGGTCCTAACCACATTAATTCATGAATTTTTTCCATAATGCATGTAACAGTAACTTAGTAATAGTATCTTAGAAAATATAAAGTAACTCTTTATATGAGATATGTACCAGGAAGATGATCTCTTGAGATCAGTGGCTTCTTGTAAGACAGAAGCAAATGTTGTCCAGACATGGATAAATTTCTTGGAAGACACATGGCATCTTCAGTCCTCATTCACCGAAGAGAAGGACAAACTGATTGAGTACTTATACATCTCCTCTTTTTTCATGAAAGAACATAATTTAGTATTACTGTCTTCAACAAGAAACTGTGATGATGTCCATCTTGTTCGTTGTGTTTGAAGTTTATAAGCTCTCTACATTTTGGTAAATGCATTTCCTCAACTTATCTATTTACTTTTTTTTGGTTTTTTTTGTGTTGTCTACCACCACTATTCAAGAGATGAACTGGAGAAATCTGAAAAGTTTTTTGTGAAGTTGGTGCTTGACTACCTTTCTGCTTACAAGGTACTTCCCCTTGGGTTTCATATATTTTAAAATATAAGCAGGCTGGACATAACATAATCTGTTTGGAAAGCATAATATTTGAAAGACCCAGTATTTTATTGCCGCATGCATGGTAGCCATTTTTAACAATATTGAGTTACCATATGTACATAGGAAGACCTGTGCAATTCCATCATGGATATCAGAAAATGTGTCGATGAACTAGACAATTTAAGAAAGAGGTATGAACATTGTGGCTAAAAGTATGGCAAATGGTAGAATTTGGTAATATTTAATCCAATTTGTAGTTGCTGGCAATCTGTTCATCTTATTTTGCAGGTCCTTTTCAGCCTCTGACGTAAACAATGAGAATCCTGATGCTAAAGAAGCAAAGCAAATAAGGCACCTTGAAGAGGGATATTTGAATGCCGAAGCAAAGGTTAAATATCAGCTCTCTCTTGTGTTTTCTAATATTGTTCACACTCACTTGTATGTGTGTTTGCATGTTGGGTCCACATATAGACAACATGCATGTCCATGTATATTTCTCTAGGTATGATATTTTATATTAAAACTCGGCAATAGTCCTAATTTTGAATGGTTTGAGGAAGAACAATAGTTTGCCACGCTCTCTCATGTTGTTACTTTCATATCAATCTTCAAGATGGTCCCTGGCCCTTGGGAGTCTCAAGTACCACTTTCTACACTACGTTTAAATGCCTTTTTAACATGAGGGCTTAAAATATTCTTTTGCCTGAACAGATTATTACCACCTTCAGTGTTGTGGATAACATGAGGGAGCAGTTTTATTCTCAACAGGGAAGTTCTTCTAGGTATCCCACCTCAATCGATGTATTATTCACTCTTTGGAACATGTTTTCTTGCGTTGTCTTCTTCCTTATATGGATAGCATTTTGGTTTGTTGCTATACCAGGCGAGATACTTCCCTAGTGCAAAATGCGTTTGATGAACTTGAGAAGATGAGGCAGGAGTTTGAGTCAATTCCAAGACCAACTTTGGAAATTGAAACCCCATCCCCAAGAGTAGGAGAGACCACCACAGTATTTGATCCTAAAACACCCAAAACTCCCAAATCACCGCAAGTTGCAAAGCACATAGAGGAGACACCCCCATCAAAAGCAGAAGCATCTGCAGATCAACCAGCAGCATTGGATCCAGAGGCCGAGCTTGCGAAGCTTGAGTCAGAATTTGGGAAGTTGGGCAGAGACTATTCAGCCGAAGAGATTAGTGGATGGGAGTTCGATGAACTTGAACAAGAGCTCAAATCTGGGGATACAACACGCAAGGATGATAAATAGATGCCCTCTGCTTCTTACATTCCGACTTCTCCTGGTCTGAGCATCCTGGTCAATGTTATTTTCTAATTCAATTCACGAAGTTGTGGATTGTATAAAATAAATGCCGTAGGAGGATGGGTGTTTGATTGTGTGTGTGACTAGCGCAGGAGGGAATTTCTTGAAGCCAAGTTGCATGTATCTTTGTGGTCTATGGTCAATTCTTTGGTTGCGTTTATAATATTACCTCGGTTTTTCATATTTGAAATTTTCATGCTGCATACGGTCATTCACATTGATTCATCAAATAACAGGCTATCAAGTGCCATTTAGGTGGCTAACAGTGGACATTTATATTAAATCTAAGAATAGTGTTTAGGGACTTGGCCGAGTCATTGGCAACCTGCCAAGGCGAGTGTTACTGCCCAACTCACTTTTCTTAAAAAATCAAATAATTTTGTTAAAACTCTAATATACAATTTATAAATATTTTTCTAAATGTTTTTTTATATTTTCTTATGATGATTCATGAATTTTCTTACTATATGCTCTAATTGTTTATTTTCCCCCATTTTTTATTGTTCTGAGATATTGCAAAGATAAATCATTTTTTTCAATAATGCAGCTTGTTTATAACTTTTCAAATTTTTTTATGGACTTATAATATTTTATATTACTTATTTTAGTTCTTGCTGAGTTTTAGTTATTTTAAACAAGTTTTTAGCACTCTTTTTATGGATTTTTGGACCTATTTTGGACTCCTGCAGAAGTTGGTTGAGTCCACATGGACTGGGCCGGGTTACTCGTCCGGCCATGGCTGAGTTCAAAGCACAAGCGAGTTTCACTACATTGGATAGCTTTGCCAAATTTATGTAGTCTTTGGCAAAAATATTTTAAGGGTTGAAAAGAGTTGTGTTTTCTGTTTCACTTTGGGGAAAGGTTTCTGTACTTGCCCTACTGTATGGAAGATGTATATTTCTCCCCATCCAGCCATCCAATTTTGACCAAGTGAGTCACTGACCATTTGACTTAGATTTAACACTTCAGAGTATTTTATTTTTAATTTTTTATACAAATTATATACAAGATGAAATTTTGTACCTGCCACCATCTCAATGGGGCGTATCTAAAAAAAATTTTAAAAATATTTTTGGTAAAATACAATGGCCAAAATACCTTTGAGACTTTTAGGTTTATTGAGAAATTTTTTTTTAATGTTGTTTACAAGTGCGAGTTTAAAAGAGGAGTAGACGCCTAAATTTTGGTGTCAAAATGTTTTGTGAAAGCAATTAAAAATAAAATAGTGGAGGCGTGACATTGTGATTGGGGCCATATCTCAGTTGGAGGAAGTATATAAATTTTATACATTAGGGGAAGTATAGGGGAAGTATAGAAAGTTTGACCTTTCTAAGGTTAGTAGGGTATCTGAGTAAGTTAATTTCAAAGTGTGATGGTTACGTTGATAGATATTAGGGAAGCAATCTTAGGTTTAGTCGTCAAGCGTTTCTCTTATGCATCTTCCTGTTGAAGGGGCTGTGATGCTAGAGGGTGTAGCCCCGATGAAACAACCTCTTGCGCTGGTAGAGGCAGACTTTCTTTCTCCCCTGTCGACGGTTAATTCCGGAGACCTCTCACTCCGGCTGACTGTTCAACGGGAGGACCAAACGCTAGCACATTCCAACCCTCCTCCCGTCGGTGCCCTGGACTTGGATGAGGTGAAAGTTTCCTCGATTGTTGAAGATAGCAGTATGGACTTTTGACGTTCCTGTTGGAGTCGTCTTAAGGGGATTGTCAGGAAGTTGAAGACGGAATATGAGACCCATCGTGCAAAGGAGGTTGATAACACTGGTCCCAAGAAATCTATGGAAAACTCCTTTGTGACGGATGCGGTTTTGAAGAAGAAAAAAGGCAAAGCTACTATGAAAGGTGCCCGATCTTCGGTGAGGCCTCAGGCTAAAGGACAGCGTCAAGGGGAGGCTCAGGGTTTCGTGATCCATGATGTTAATTATGTTGGTAGTTCTTCATCCTCTGCATCTTTGGAGATTGCTTTTGAAGCTGCAATGGAGGATTCATTTGAGGATGATGCTGAGAACCACGGTGGTTCTCTTGGTGATGGGCCTGGTCCTTTCTTTTCTTAATTTATGTTTAGTATTTTGTCTTGGAATGTGAGAGGTTTGGGCGACCTCAAACGTAAGAAGGACGTCTTGTTTTTAGTATCTAAATATAAACCTGTTGTGCTTATTCTTCAGGAAACCAAACTTCCTTGTCCTAATTTACAAGGGGCTAGGGAAGTGTGGGGTCCTGGAGCCTTGAATTTTGCTAGGATGGCTCTGTTGGAGCTTCTGGGGGCTTGTAGGTCATTTGGGATCCTACTTTTTTGCTTTCTTTTTCCTTGCTAAAAAAAGATAACTTTCTGCATATTGGTTTTGTGGGTCCTATGGATGGTTTTCAATGGGGTTTGATCAATGTGTATGGGCCCCAATCTATGGTCCAAAAAGTTTCTTTCATTTCGGAATTGTCTGTTGTTATTTTAGAGTGTCAATTTCCAATCTGTATTGTGGGGGGGGGGGATGTTAACCTAATTAGGTGGCCAGAGGAAACTTCCAAGGGTGGGGGAATCACTTAGGCTATGAGTTTGTTTAATCGCTTTATTGAGTCCAATGCCTTGATTGATCTTCCAATCTTAGGCACAAATTTCACTTGGACCAATTTTAGTTTGGTTCATCTTTCAATGCCTAAGTTGGATAGGTTTTTGGTGTCTAGGGAGTAGTCTGAATTGTTTCATTTAGCTTCGGTCAGAGGTCTTTCCAGATCGTCCTCTGACCATTGTCCAATTTTGCTTTCTTCCAAAGTACGATCTGGGAGTCCTAAGCCTTTTAGATTTGAAATTGGGTGGTTCAAAGAAAAAGAAGTGACTGATATTATCAGGAGTACGTGGGAAAATTCCATTTTCCTAGGCTCTATTGATTTTCAACTCCAAAAGCTTATTCGTATTAGACAGAAAATCTTGGATTAGAAGATTGCAAATGCTTATTCGCATTAGACAGAAAATCTTGGATTGGAAGATTGCAAATTGTTACGCTGTTAAAAGGAAAATCCATGAGCTCATGACGAGTATAGAGGTGTCTGATGGTATTATGCAAAAGATAGCGATGTGGAAGGAGGAACATGCTTTGATTAGGAAAAATAATATGGAGGATCTAGCTGAGCTTAAAAGGGTGGAAGAGATATATTGGCATCAAAGATCTGGGATAAAGTGGCTAAAGGAGGGTGATTTGAACACGAAGTTTTTCCATGCCATAGCTAATGGTTGTAGGCGGCATAATGATTTGGATGGGCTTTCGGTAGTGGGAGTAAATAATGATGACCAAGAAGACTTGTCCACAGCCATTGTGTCTCATTTTCAGAAAGCATTCACGTCTAAAATTCTTTCTCCTCCCCGACTCGATAGGGTTGGTTTTAGAGTCCTGGCCCTTAATCTGATTTCCTCTTTGGATAAGGAGGTCACTTTGGAGGAATTAAAATGTGTTGTTTTTGCTCTCCTTGGGGACAAGGCATCGGGTCTTGATGGTTTTCCATTAGTATTTTTCCAACGCTTCTGGAATTTGGATAATGGTGAACTATTGGAGTTGATTAAGGACTTTATAAGGCGGGGACAAATTTTTAAGGGTATTAATTCAACCTATATAGCACTTATTCCGAAAAAATCCACTATTGCGCAGTTGGGAAACATTAGGCCCATCAGTTTACTTACAAGTCTTTATAAAATTGTGGCCAAGGTGCTGGCTGTGAGGCTTAAGGAGGTTCTCCTGGCCATCATCTTAGGACCGCAGGCAGCATTCATTAAGGACATGCTTATCTCGGATAGTGTTTTTGTTGTGCAAGAGTGTAGTCATGCTCAAATTAGTAGTGGACGTTCAGGGGTGGTGATTAAACTTGACATGGAGAAGGCTTACGATAGGGTTGAATGGGCAGTTCTTTTAGAAATTATGAAGCATATGAGTTTTACTGTGAAGTGGAGGAGCTGGATTTTTGGGTGTTAACTTCTGCCCAGATATCTATTCTTTTTAAAGGAAGCGCAACTGGTTTTTTTAAAGCTTACCTATGGGCTCAAATAAGGTTACCCTTTATCACCTTTCCTATTCACGTTATATGCTAAATGTTTTTACCTGATGTTGTCCAACGTTGCTAATGGACGTCATTTTTCAGGTTTTAAGCTCCCTAATGGAGGACCTTCTATCTCCCACTTACAATATGCTGATGACACATTACTGTTTTGTGATCATCGTTGGAACAGGTGTCCAACATTGGAGTCTTCCTTAAATGCTGTGAAATGGGTTTAGGGCTGAAGGTAAACTTTGCTAAAACTTCTATTATTGGAATTAACTGGTCAGAGGAGGTGGTGAACTTGGCTAATGCTTGGTGTTGCAAAGTTGAGAAGTTCCCGATTGAATATCTGGGGATACCCATTTCGGATGGACGACTTCCCATAACAGCTTGGGATACAATTATCCAGCGTATTCAGATCAAATTGGATTTAAATACCTTTCTTGTTACCCTTATAAAAGCATGTCTTTCAAATCTCCCAATCTATCAAATGTCTATACTCCTTATTCCCTCTTCGGTTGCTAGAAGAATTAAATCTATGATGAGGGATTTTTTATGGGGCTCATCTATAGAAGCATGTAAGTTTCATTTGCTTCGATGGGACAAAGTTTGTAACCGAGAAGTGAAGGGGGTCTTGGTATTAGGAGAATTCGTACTATGAATCAAGCATTATTGTGTAAATGGGGGTGGAGAAGTCCCACTGGCAAAGATAACCTGTAGTATCAAGTTGTTATTTCTAAGTATTAGAAGGGGAGGGACGCACTTGTCTTCCTGTTGGAATTCGATCAAGAACTGTAAATCGCTGATCCACAGGGATGTTCGTTGGTTTGTTGGGAGTGGGACTTATATCTCGTTTTGGCATCATAAATGGATTGGGGAGGCACTTTTAAAACTATTCTTCTCAAATATTTTCAATAAGGTAACTAACCCATACGTGCTTGTCTCTGAATGATATGAGTGTAGAGGCAAGCAAATACTGTGGAATATAGATCTCCCCTACAATAGAATCTCGGATTCACTCTTCATTGAACTTTCTAACTTGCTTACTCTTCTTGAAGGGGTGTATATTTCATGAAATGCTGCTGATGAGGTGATATGGGAATTGATAAGAGTGGTATTTTTTCAGTGAATGCAATGTATCACTTACTTTTC